TGAAGTGTAATTTAATTGTTGAGTTGGTCTCGTGTCCCATTGAATAACATGGGGAGGCGGGGGTTATGAGCTATACTAGGACCGGCCACAGGGGGGCGATCGAGACGTTTTGGCTTCACTTTTGAGGGCTTGTGCGGCACGCTTGGTAATAACGTTAAGTCAACGGCGTTCATAAACACGCTGAAAAGCGATTATGCGTGTTGATAGCACGCCAAAAATGGAAATACGAATTGGCGTGTCATACATACGCTACTTCATGAGATCAGTCTGCCTTATGTCTGAAAGACTTATGTTGCACTTTACTGTAATTTCCTTTTTTTTAAGTGATTCCAATCATATTTTCAAGCAATTCAAAACCTTGTGTTGGATTTGAAGCTTATCCGCTTTAATATATATATCGGCCAAATGTTCTTATCGGGCCAATAACGATAACATTAAAAATGAACATATATCTGCCGATACTGATATGGTGGCCCATATATGGTGCATCTCTAGGTAAGACTAAAAAAGATTGAAGAAGAGAATTTGCGGGTACAATATTTTGAAATCAATTCGATATTTTATCGGAAGTAAAACTAAATACTAATAATAAATAAAATAGAAGTAAAGTAAAAACTTCAAGAGTGTTAAAGAACAGGAGTAATGTGCTCTATGGGAGGGGTTCTGGAAATAATTTGTGGAGCTGCAGTTTATGTTTAGAAGGAAGACCAAAGAGAAGAGAAATGCTATAATCTATATATGTGACGTAACTAGGGCATTTACAAGGATAGCAGTGCTGTGCTGTTCGTTGGCAGAGAAGGACGAAGATATGTCCGTAAACATTTGTGTTTTTATGTTTCGTAAATCAAATTTTTCAGTAGGCTATGAATAATATTCATAAATGCGAGCTTCAAAAGATAGTGTGCTATCAAGGAAGACACTGCGTGGATGGAAATACTAGTATGGACTAGTCGTAAGTCACAGATAAACTATCAGTTGATGCCAGAGTAGATTTTGTACCAACCAGGATAACCTCAGTTTAAGGAAATTAGATAAAAACCAGTTTTTAATTTAAGATAAACAGCTGAACAGAGAAAGTGGAGGGAAAACAGAAGTAGGCATGGATGACAGGTAAAGCTGGGCCATTGTATGCATAGCAGTGGAAATGAATACTGTACTTCTTAAAATATGTCTATGGGGGCAGTAAATAGATAATAAACAAAAGAGGGCCCAACACTGAGCCTTGGGGAACACCAATGGTAACTTGCAATGACTCAAAGTTGTTGAGTGTCACAAACTGAGCGTGACCAGAAAAATACAATCTAGACCTAGACATACAGGTGCCCATAACTCCAAGAGAGGCCAGCCTGTCTAGGAGGATGATATTAATACTCAATAGAACATGATTTTAAATGCATATTTAGAATTATAATAGAGGTTTTAAAGAATATTTTCCCCCAAAAAATCAGTTGCTGATTTAAAAAAAAAAATAATAATTAGTTGCTAGGGTGTTCTATGTGGTTGCTATGGCATTTCTTGGGTGTTGTTGCAGTACAGTAACAGTAATTGTAGTGCATTGCAAGGTAGTTGCTAGGGTGTTCAGGATGGTTGCTAAAGCATTGCCTGTATGGTTTCTAGGGTGTTCTCGGTGGTAGCTTGCCAGTTGCTAGGTGTTACAGATGGTAGGCATTGCTGTTAAGTTGCTAAATAGTTGATAGGTGTTATAAATGGTTGATAGGGCGTTGCTAGGTAGTTGCTAAAATGTTCAGGGTAGTTTCTAAGGAATTGCTATATAGTTGCTAAGAAGCTGATAAGGTATTCTTGTGGTTGCTAGGTGTTATAGATTATTGCTAGGGTGTTCCAAGTCTTTCACTCAGATATTGAAGCTCAATTTTGAGGAAGCTGTAGTAATAATTTTCTTACAGTTGAAAATTGTTTTTACAGTTGCAGAAACAATTAAAAATTAAGTGTATTTAACTGTTTAGTGTATTTTTAAAGTATTTTTTTTGCTTCACTCCATCTGTGATTCAGCGATGTGAAGTTGTCATTCAGGTTTGTGTGAAATGTTGTCTGTAAACATAGTGGTTGGATGCCTGAGCGTTACACTGTCAGCATGAGTTGTGGGCGGGACTGAGCGGTGGGTGGGGTTTAGCAGTGGGCGGGGCATAACAGGTGGGGTGATATATGGGCGGGGCTAACTGGTGGGACATAGTTATGGGCGGAGTTAATGGTGGGAGGGCATCAGAGCAGAGTTATGGGTGGAGTTGGATTGTGTGTGGGGCGTCAAGGGCAAGTTTTATAAACTCTGTAAAGCATCACAGGACGGTTTCCTCTGTCATTTAGGAATGAAGTCGCTCTCTTTCACCTGATTAATTTGGACTAGAGATGAAAGAGGCCTGACGTTACAGTACTGATCATAAATTAGACCATGTTTACATTCAGTACATACTCTTTCTTTAGACTAGATTGATACAGTATTAACTGAACTTCTCTGCTTTGCATCACAAGATCTTGTGACCCGCACCTTCTGAGGACAGCAGAGTCCTGTGCCTTTATATGGACAAACACACACTTATGTATTCCTTATGTTATTTATTCTAGAAACTTTTTTTTTTTAGTTGTTGTTAAGCCTTGAAGTCTATTGAAGTCAGTGTTGCGCTTGTGCTAGAGTGTGTGTGTGTGTTTTCTTTTTTTGGACAGTTTCGTTTCCTCTTTGTCTGTCACAAGTGTTCACGAATGCCATTCTGTGTATTTAAACACACACACACACATATACTGGTGCCTCACTGAAAAGCTCGTTTATGAACCGGAAGTTGGTTGAGAGATTTCAAAAGCGATCCATCCCCATGTATAAGTGTGTGTGTGTGTGTGTAAACGACAAACATCTCTCATGTGTCGCGTCGAGATGAACAGGAAGCTGTTGCTGTCGTTCTCTCTGAGCGGAAGCTGTTGGTGTTCATGGTGTCGGAGGCTCTAATAGCAGACCCTACAGGAGTGTGTGGCGATGGATAGTGAAGGAGATGTGGGAGATTGTACCCTGGAGGACGTTCCCTCCAGCCCGGGGGAGACCGAACATGTGGTAGGACCTGAAAACCTGCTCTCTGTCACTGTTGTTCAGTCTGTTACAGGGCCCAGAACTCCCCTTCACGTCCGCCCAAACCCGTAGCTGACTTTCTCTTGTTAAAGTGAAACAGAAGAGAAGATGTCTTGAAGAAAGCTGGGGTTATTTTAGTATTGTTTAATCTACTATTGTAATATTTATTCACATTTTTTATACTTAAAGTAAAGAGCTGCCCTTATTCTCTTAAGAGAAAAACACGACAAAATTGATAAAACAAAGTAAAATGTAAATGGTTCTAGTTAACATGAACTTTCTAAAGCATTTATTAATCTTAGTTTGTTGGTCTCAACATTTACTAACACATAATTAAAATAAAATGTATTTGTTAATATTATTTAACGAACTAGCAATGAACAGTTGAGTTTTTATTAACTAAAGTTCACAAAGATTAATAATGACTTTAACAAATGTTTCACGCACTGTTTGTAAATGCAAGAACCAATGTTAACTAATGGATCCTTGTTTTATTCATTATTTTACCATTTTACTCCAATTAAATTTTAATTGTAACCTTGGCAGCCAAAATAAATTCTTCTTAAGATCATTTTTATTTTATTTCATTTCAATGAATGTATTTGTTTGTCAGTATCTTTAATGGTTACCAAACTGGTCTAAACATCTTTAGACCCCATTGACTTAACATTGAAATAGAAATTCATCAAAATCATCTTCTTTTATGTATTTTAAGTCTATGATTGAAAGTAAACGATTGAATATTTTTGTCTGAACAAACTCGCGAGCTAAAAAGATCATGATGATGGTGGTTTATAGCCGTCAGGTTTCATGTTTCTGATGTTTGTAGTGAAACTAATGCAGCTCAGAGCTTTAGTGATCTTACTTACTCAAGACGTCTCACTTCCGTGATGTGACGTGTGTTTCTGACTCAAACTGGATATGCAGAGAGGGAAAATGAGGACGGTGCATGTTTTTATCCAAGATAAATTGATTGGATGCCGAAAGAGTCTCTTAGAGGGATCAATTGAGTCAGTCGAAAAGGAGGAGAAAGTTGAAAGTATAATCATTTTTTTTCTTTAGAAAATTGGGCACTGATGAATCATTCAGAGACCAGGAATGTGTATTTAAAAACATATGATTCATATATAATTCATTTGGAGAGAAATCAAGGCCCAAATGAGTCACTAGTTCGAAAAAAAGGGTGTCGAATTTACTTTGAAACTTACTAAGAGTCAGCAATTAACACATCGACACCATGACATTTTTGAAGCAGAACGCACTCCAATTACATTTGTTTCATTTCGAAAATAAGTTCACACTGAAATCTGACTTTTTATTTCTGAAAGCTGACTTTGAAATCTTGGCAAGTTTGAGACCTGGCGTGAAACTCTAGAAGAGAAGCTCTTTTATAAAAGGAGAAACATCCGAGAAGCGTTTTCAGGGAAACGTTTGAGATTTGGAAGAGATTTTATTGCGATTCCTCTTTCCTATGGGTTGTTGTGATGTTTTATGTGTGTGTGTGTCGCTCTTACTGAAGTGACTTTTCCTGTGTGTTTTGTAAGTGAGCTGCTCACAGCAGAACTTCCTTATTGAGTCACAGTGTTCACGTGTGTGTGTGTGTGTGTGTTCGCTCTGAAACACACTGTAGATGAATGTCTCTGCGGTGTCTCGAGTTTGGTACCTGCTCTATTTACACTGTCAGACGTGTGTTTAGTCTTTGAATGGCTGTGTGAAGTGTGATATTTCAGTCTGATTGCAGTTTAGCTCAGTCTGTGTCAGTTTATGACAACAAAAAGAAAACGGAAAAGAGAAGTTCTGCAAGTTTACAGATTATATATCCCTGACGATAAAGCTTCTCTCGATGCCGTTGACTTCCTCTGCACGAGCGCTGAACCGCATTATATGTCTTTCTTTCCATCACTGACCCCTGACCTGTGTGTGCCAGGATTCAGACGGCCTGTCGGTGTTGGAGCAGCTGGGTTTGGACCAGAACTCGGATCTGTCAGACTCCAGCGTTCAGCAGCGTCTGGACGAGCAGCGCGAGAGGATCCGGAGGGAGATCCGGAAAGAGCTGAAGATCAAAGCGGGAGCGGAGAACCTACGGCGGGCCACGACTGACAAACGCAACGCCCAGCAGGTGGAGAGCCAGTTACGCAGCTCCACGCGCAAACTGGACTCGCTGCACACTCAACTGCAGGAGCTGGACGCACACATCGTCATCAAGGGCCACGATGACAGCAAAGGTCAGGGGTCAAGCTGATCATCTCACCTTTACAGGCACAGCCAATGCTTAAAGGTCCCATATTGACTTTTTCGTGATAACTGAGGTCTAGGGGCGATGTAACTACCATATAAGTTTCAAAACAGTCAATCCACAGACAAACGCACACAGCCTGCTTAAAGGTTCTCTAAGCGATGTGGGGCCAAAACATTTTTTGTCACATACATCAAACGTCTCCTCACTATCGGCTAGCTGCCTGTCCCCTAAACACACTGTAAAAAAACGCGGTCTCTGTAGACACCACAGGCTCCACAAACGGCAACAAAAACAATCATGTCTCACCCGGACCACGAAACCTAACAAACAGTGTTCTAGCCAATCACTAGCAAGAAGTATTTGAGGGTGGGTCTGGGGGGTTAGTGCGCGTGCAAATGAAGGGGGTGTGTGTGTGAAGGAGATAGAAGCGTCAGAGGGAAGTTTGAAAAATGGCCGACACGACGAAAGAGACGTCGTTCTGAAGAACAAATTAAAAAGAAGAAGGAGTCGGATAAAGAACGTGCGAAGTTCCGAATTTACATCGGTAGCAAAGCTTTTGAAAGATGGCGAGAACTCCGGCGGCAGAAGGGCTTCCAGTCCGACATTCAGGTTGCTCTGTTTTTGCTGGACAGGTGGGTAACGTTAAATTGTTTTTTTTCTTCTAAATTGACGCTTATGTTCGCCAAACCCACACAAGGATGTAATTAGCTAGAAATGCACGTTCACTATTATTTCAGGAAGCACGGAAGGGAGGGGGAGGAGATGAGATGCGGAGGAGGGAGGGTCTAGCTAGCCTCCGATTTGTTTGCAAATATTCCGAACGTCAACACCCAGGATCGCTCAGAGAACCTTTAAAGTAGCTGTGGTTTGTTTTCCTAAGTTACAGACACTTGATGTTTGTTGTTTTTATTGAGTTAAAGAGACTCAGTCTTTGTCTTTTGTTTTGCTAACAGAGACTAACGTTTAGTTAGTGGTTCTGAAAACAAAAGGCCAATTAGAAGAGAGGCTCATAAATATTAATTAGACAGGCCAAAACTGACCTCTTCTTAGCAGAGCCGTTCTTCTTCGACTACTTTTTGTTACCGGCTGCTCACCGCTTAGGAGTTTTACCGCCCCCTACCGTATAAGATGGCGTACTGATATAGCCGGAGGCGCAAAACGTTCTGTTTACAAGCAGTACGTCATCTTATACGGTAGGGGGCGGTAAAACTCCTAAGCGGTGAGCAGCCGGTAACAAAAAGTAGTCGAAGAAGAACGGTCTCGTCTCAGTTCTCGCGCATGCGCCCATAAGGAAGTAATGGAAAGTCGAATAAAGTCGTTATTTACGTTTTTTTTTTCGCACAAAAAGTAGTCTCGTCGCTTGATAAAGTTATAGTTGAGCCACTGTAGGCACATGGAATATTTAAACCTTTTCTTTTAATGACTTTCTGGGCCGTCAAGAGGCAGTCCCTCAGGCTGTCTATGGAAGAGTGATCCAGCCCTCAGATTCAATCAAAAATATCTTTATTTGTGTTCCGAAGATGAACGAAGGTCTTACACGGTTGGTACAGCATGGGGGTGAGTAATTAATGACTTAATTTTCATTTTTGGGTGAACTAACCCTTTAATTCACGTGCTGTTATAACGTGCGCTTTCCTGAATGTTCATAAAGCGCTCCCCGTTCACAGTAACCAGGTCGTCTCATTCAAAACAGCCAGCTGTTGCTGTCAGCGAGTCAGGCTGCGAATGTAAGTTACGTGCCCGCCCCAGCGCGCTCACGCTTACTAAATAAACGCCTCACCTCCGACGCCGCGCACTCGCTACATTCCCTTTAGCACATCTAGTGGATGCATAACGCAAACCCAGTCAAACGTTTGAAAAATGTTCTAAAATAGGTCATTGAAGGTGCGCCTTATAGTATCGCTTGTACTTAAAGGGATAGTTCACAAAAATATATATCTATATGTGTATATGTCATCATTTTGTTTCCGACTAGTCGACTAAGGCCAACAGCGCCAACTGGTGGTTGTGACAGTCGACTAGTTGATGAAACCCCTACTTGTACCGCAAATATATACTCTTAAGGAGATCAAAACCTAAAATAAAACTCCAGAAAGGTGAACAATATGGGACCTTTAAGGAATATGATTAAATTCTAGGGCTGGGTATAAATTCGATTTCGATTCCTGCTTCGACACAAAAAATAAATTAAGTCATAACTCTTTTTATTTTAGGTAAACTTGGGTACATTAAAACAGAACCTATCTCTATATTTCAATGCATACAATGAATAAACAAGATTTTGATGCCAGATGAAATTGATGCTAAAAATTGAACAAGTCACATCAGAACAGTCGCATGCCTTGATCAAACAGGATCCGGTTATTTTATAGACAACTATTCCTGGCTTTTGGTTGATAGAGAAGTAAATATGGAAAAAATCGATTCTTGGCCTTTTGAGAATCAGCTTTGAATCGACCACATTTTAAATATTGATTAATCGAAAAAATGTATCGCAAATGAATCTTCTGGGATGATGTGTTTGGTTGCGAGTATACAAGAAACTGATGTAAATATTTAAAACCCTCATATTCCTGTTAGACCGTGACCCTGGATGAATGTCTGACCCTGTCTTTGACCTCCAGATGACCTTCAGTCTCTTGGGTCGCTGAGTCGCTCCTCAGCCAATCAGGACAGGATTAAGGCTCTGGAGCGACAGCTCAACATCGAACTGAAGGTCAAACAGGGGGCAGAGAACATGATCCCCATCTACGCCAATGGGGTTACCAAGGTATTGAACGTCTATCTATCTGTCATCTATCTATATAAGTACCTTTCCATCTGTCTGTCTGTCATCTACCTATCTATCCATCTATCTACCTATCCGTCATCTATCCATCTATATGCTGTTCTATCTACAGTATATATCATTCTATCTGTCTGTCTTTCATTTTATCTATCTATATGTCTTTCTGTCAATCCATCCCTCCATCCATCACTCTGACTTTCTCCATCTGTCCATCTCTCTGTCCTCCAGGATAAGAAGATGCTCCAGTCAGCTCAGCAGATGTTGCAGGACAGTAAGACGAAGATCGACATCATCCGAATGCAGATCCGTAAAGGCGTACAGGCCACCGAACAGACCGACGATACTCAGGGTACTGAATATGCTAGTGCTACTCACACACTCTGTCTCATAGAAACGAGCATTTACCCACTTAACATCATCATAGATATCCTTAAACAGCATAGGCCTATGTCACACTTCCTGCTTCCGGAATGCGGAGTAGGGATTCAGAACTTCCGGTCAACAGTATTTCTCGATAAGGATTTAGATGATCAGCTTAATTGTCTAAACCATCCGAGGTAGACTGACCACGGGCTATGAGGTTGTGAAATGAAGGTTTTTGCTCCAGTAGAAGTTATAGGTTCATATGAAATCAACCGAGTTTTAAGAAAAACATTTTATCCGCGATGTTATGAAAAAAAACTACACTACCCACAATCCTAAGCGTAGCAGCAACGTCTGCTGATTAGAAATAACGTTTAGATGTTGATGTTTTATTGAAAATGGTTTGTTTAAAGTCACCATTATGCTGATCAGTGTTTTTTCTTTAGCTGTGCAGTTTGACTCTTGACTTTTAACATTAGTTTTTCAATTGCTGCTGTTATTGTGTTTTTTATGGCAAGAACTGCAAGAGAAATTATGTACAGATGATGTTGATTACTTTAATTCTCTGATCAGTCCATTCTTTGTTTAGATATCATGTTTGTTTGTTTTTTGAATTATTGATTGTAATAGTCCTGTACGTGATTGTCTGGCAGTTTAATCTGAGGGATTTAGCACCAAGAAGTGTTAAAGATACAAACTAAAGGGTTTGATTAGTTTGCGCCCGACGTCTTCCTGACGTCTCATTGCCGTACTCTGTTTACTGTGACTTTTCTTATCTCAGATCTCATCGGCATTAGTCCTGTGCACACTGCAACTCAGGTTCACTTAATATAAAACGACTAATATGATGTCCATCCTTACAAATTGTAAGCGTAACATTTCATATAGCGAGGACATGAACTCTTATGGCATGTTTTGAATACCAGGGATGATGCGGTTGTGGATGTTTGTGGGAAATGTTTGGTTCATAAACACAACTGGTGTCTCTGGTTGTTTCGTCAGACAGTCTAAATCTGCGTCTTTCTTTCCTGCTGTTTATCTGGCAAAAGGTCTCTGAGGCGTCAACATTAATAGATTAACATGCTTAACATTATTGAAAAAATAGTTCACCCAGAAATCAAATTGATTTTAAACCTGTATGACTTTTCCATGGACCACAAAAGGAAACATTGTGAAGAATGTTTAAACATATGAATAGTAGTGACAAAATGGATGAAAAGTGTCAGAAGGTGCTATAATCCAAGTCTTTTTAAAGTTATCTTTATAAAGTCAAGTTACATTTATTTAAATACAGATTGTGTCAAAGCAGGTTCATAATAAACTGTAATAAACTATAAATATAGTAATAAACTGAAAAATAGAAGTGTTAATGTTGCAGAATTCATTATGAATTTTAGATAAAGCATTCATTGTTGATTCAGTTCAGTTCATTAACAGTGTCAAACAGAGTACAAAGTTAGTGTCATTCATCTCAATTAGTCAGACCCAAACCCAAATGTTATCTATCTATCTATCTATCTATCTATCTATCTATCTATCTATCTATCTATCTATCTATCTATCTATCTATCTATCTATCTATCTATCTATCTATCCATCCATCCATCCATCCATCCATCCATCCATCCATCCATCCATCCATCCATCCATCCATCCATCCATCCATCCATCCATCCATCCATCCATCCATCCATCCATCCATCCATCCATCCATCCATCCATCATCCATCCATCCATCCCATCCATCCATCCATCCATCCATCCATCCATCCATCCATCCATCCATCCATCCATCCATCCATCCATCCATCCATCCATCCATCCCATCCATCCATCCATCCATCCATCCATCCATCCATCCATCCATCCATCCATCCATCCATCCATCCATCCATCCATCCATCCAGAATGTAACTCACAATTTTCATCTATAATGAGCTGCGACTTATGTGACGTATTATGAAGCAATTTACATAATGAAAAAGATATTTGGATTTGTGACGAATAAGAGTTTATTTGTGTAATGAATTTCCTACACGACTTGTAGTTTTAGTATATGAATTCCGAAGACTTATAATATAGTCCATATAGAGTCGTATGGACTGATTTATGGTATTTTATAGTGTTTCCTGTGCTTTTTGGAGCTTGATATTTGAAGTTCCTTTTGATTGTTGTATATAAAAGTTAAGCAAAAAATCTCCTTTGTGTTCCACAAAAATTAACAGCAAACATGTTTGAAATGACATGAGGAGGGTGAGTAATAATGACAGAATTGAAACTTTTGGGTAAACTGTACTTTGATAAAACTACATATGAATGCAGAGAGTGAAAGAGAGAGATTTGAAGAAAGATGCGAGATGGAGAGGGAGGAAATGGAGGGCGAGCTGAATCTGTGGGTCTAATGGACTCTAATGGTGTGTTTCGGCGCTGATGTCTCGTGTCCCGAGGCCGGAGGGTTAAGAATAGATTTATTAATGTGACTCCGCCCTCGGCCATCACTGAGATCCACGGGACGCTCCTGGAAGTGACGTCTGACATCCTGTGAGAGGATTTAAGGACCCCACATTACGTTTTGTTCTTTTTTATATCTTATTTTATTACAGTTAACATTTATTTTAATTTTAGTGTACGTTTGTGTAATTTTAGTGTAATTTTTGTTTGGTTTTAGTCATTTTAGTTCTGTACAACATTTTATTTAATTTCAGTTAATGATAATCTTAATTTAGTAATTTTATTATGATTCTGTTTTTCCTTAAACTAAATGAAAATTAGAAATGTTGCCAAGGCAACTAACTGAAATTAAATAAGTTTATGGGTTTTTTTGTTTAATTTCAGTTAACGTTTATTATATTTCAAAGATATTGAGTGAGCTGAATGTGTCTTCAGTCCGTTCATGTTTAAAAGTTAAAGTTATTTAACATTTTTAACTTGTAAATAGTGTGTGTGAGCAAGAGTGTGTGTGTTTTTATGTGTGTGAGAGTGTATGTGTGTGTTTGTCCATCTATTTATAGCATACCCGGAAGGATCTAACCTGTGTGTGTGTGTGTGTGTGTCAGCAGGTAAGCCGGATCTGTGTGGTATGGAGCTGCGTATTGAGGAGCTCTGGCATCATTACCGCGTGGAACACGCCATGGCCGAGGGAGCCAAAAACATGCTGAGACTTATGGGAGCTGGGAAAGCACAGGACAAGAAAGCCATTGCTGAGGTGTGAGAAACATAAGGTTCCCAAACTGGGGTATGTGAGGAGGTGACAGAGGGGGTACGCCAACATTAAAACAGCACAAGTATTTCTAACAGGCAAAATACTGCCTCTAATAAATAAACAGGAACATCAGAGTGTGGTAAAAGGTCAAATACATGACATCCAATCAAAGGCCACATCTTTTGTGGTCAAAACTGACTGCATCTACACAAGGAGGAAGCATATGATGGGTGTAGAGTATACACTAAATCACACTGCATCACTGCCGTTCTCGACGATGTGCCATTGTAAAAAAAGTGGGGATTTTCCATTTACTTGCATGAAGAACAAATATAGAGATTTATTTATTTAAAGCTATTGTAGTCAATCATTATATCGTTTAAAACTAATCGTTGATCACCAAAATGACATATTTAAAAACAAATTTCTTTAAAGAAATTCTTCATGCCTTAAAATAGCTTGAATCTCGAAACCCACTGTTGCAAAGTATCGTTCAACCACGTTGGTTTCGCACGTGGTGGAGTAATAACTACTTTTAATGAAACTGTTTGAGATCCAATTAACGCTAGATTTGTTTAATATAAATTACAGACATGTCATCTGAGGACTATTTCTAATTGTTCTCAGTTATTTTGCTTTATTACCAGACTCTTCATGCGCACTCTTCAAACACGTTACTTCAAATCTTTTGAAAAACTAAAAGACGTAAATTCCATTTGTATGTATTCTGAATAAAAGGCACCAGTTGTACTGAATGTCAGCTTGCTTATTTTGCTCAAGATAAAGATTTATTGCGTCCAAATGTCATGCAATATAGAAACGATGCCTCTAACCACAGGTCGAGAGCTGTCGTTCAAATCACACAACTTTGCGATGCTGTTTGGGAATGTTCGTTGGAACGATGGTTTTGGGAAACACAGAGTCGTTGAACTATGCTGATAGCGACGGAACTTGCGATCATAGTTGGCTAACGATGCTTTTGGGAAATGCACCCCTGATTGGTTACAAGGTTTGACGTCAGCTTTATTGCTTTATAGACCTTATGCACCAGAGAAACGTGGGCGCCGTCATCTTTACAATATTGTCTTTGAACTTCCGGTTCTGTATATTTCTATGGCATTGCTGTTGAGGAGTAACTAGCTGGTGAAGTGGATTTACTTATTGTAGAGTTAACAAAAGTTATCATGAGCATTGTTTATCCTAAGCATTGTAAAGCAGATGTCTTAACAAATGTCGAACGGGAATTTTTTTACGAGCAGTTCATTCATACCTGCAAGATCGCTGTGGAAATACAGACCGGAAGTCAAAAGACAACGAGCGCACCGCTGAAAAGGGGCGGGGCTACATAAGGTCTATAGGGATGCACCGATGTAAAAATGTTAGCTGATACCGATAACCGATAATTCTTTATCTTTGAAAGCCGATAACCGATATATTCTCGTTATAATTTTAAGTAGCTGATATGACAGAATTGCTCTGCACATGTTCTACTTTACTGTATTTTTCTTTTTTGAAGTGATTCCAATCATATTTCAATTTTAAATATTTTAATTCAAAATCTTCATGTTGGACAGTGCGCATCTGAAGTCTCTCGGCTGAAGTTGATATAATGTATTATTTATCAGCTTTAATATATTGGACAAATGTTCTTATCGCCGATAACGATAACATTTCAAATTAACGTATATCGTCTGATACCGATATGGTGGCCGATAATCGTGCATCCCTATTTATTAATTATAATGATTATTAAAATAAAGGATTTTGGGGGGAATTTGTTATAAACCATGACATACATTAATATGGTTAGAAAAACCTTGCCTCTTATAAGGTAAAATAAAGGTAAAAAAATGCACTGGAAAATCTATTTAATGGGGCAAATATTGTCTCTTCACAGAAAAGGTGTAGAAGAGAAGGATGTCAAATGCTACGACGCTCTGAAAAAAGTTTGCTTTTGCTTGCTCCTTGAGGTGTGTTTGTGAAGTGTTTGTTTGTGTCTAGGCTCAGAGTCGTCTGAGTGAAGCGTCCCAGCGGTTGGATCTTCTGCGGGTGTCGTTGGAGCAGCGCTTGGGGGATCTGCCGGAGGAACACCCGAAAGCCTGTCTGATTAAAGAGGAGCTGGTGCTGGCGTCGTCCTCGGCCTTCAGCTCTCGTCACAGCGCCCCCTATGTCCACAACCAGTACAGCACCCTCTGCAAACCCTCGCCACTCACCGGTACGCCACACACACACACACATCCTCGGCCTTCAGCTCTCGTCACAGCGCCCCCTATGTCCACAACCAGTACAGCACCCTCTGCAAACCCTCGCCACTCACCGGTACACCACACGCACACACATCCTCGGCCTTCAGCTCTCGTCACAGCGCCCCCTATGTCCACAACCAGTACAGCACTCTATGCAAACCCTCGCCACTCACCGGTACGCCACACACACACACACGTCCTAGGCCTTCAGCTCTCGTCACAGCGCCCCCTATGTCCACAACCAGTACAGCACCCTCTGCAAACCCTCGCCGCTCACCGGTACACCAGACACACACACATATCCTTGGCCTTCAGCTCTCGTCACAGCGCCCCCTATGTCCACAACCAGTACAGCACACTCTGCAAACCCTCGCCGCTCACCGGTACGCCACACACACACACATCCTCGGCCTTCAGCTGTCGTCACAGCGCCCCCCTACGTCCACAACCAGTACAGCACTCTATGCAAACCCTCGCCACTCACCGGTACGCCACACACACACACACGTCCTAGGCCTTCAGCTCTCGTCACAGCGCCCCCTACGTCCACAACCAGTACAGCACTCTCTGCAAACCCTCGCCGCTCACCGGTACACCAGACACACACACATATCCTTGGCCTTCAGCTCTCGTCACAGCGCCCCCCTACGTCCACAACCAGTACAGCACTCTCTGCAAACCCTCGCCATTTACCAGTACGCCAGACACACACACAATGAAGCAGGCTTCTAATATTCTATAATGCCAAGTGTAATTTTTTTCATTTTGATATGCGTGAAATGTGAGCATGAATGTGTTTTTGAGGCTGTAGTTTCAGTGTGTCGTCACAAGCCGGATATGAGTTTTGTTGTTGTGTATCAGGGACGCTGCAGGTGCGTCTGCTGGGGTGTGTGGGGCTCCTGGAGATCGTCCCCGGTCGCAGTCGCTCGTCCCCGCTTGTCCTACCTCACTTCAGTCCAGGAGACGCGCGGCCCTTCAAACTCACTCTGAGCAGCAGAACCAGCAGCTTCAGCCTGAAGATCCCCAGCAAGAGTGAAGACCTGTCCGGTCAGTTCACTCTCAAAACACACTCTGAACTTCAGGGGTCGGGATGTTATCCAACTGTAATGTTTGTGTTATATTCTCACACTGGTCTGATGTTGTGTGTGTGTGTAGGGGAGGTGAGCGCTGTGTTGAAGCTGGAGAACTGTGTGGTGGGACAGACAAGCTGGAAGAGTGTTGGTGAACAGACCTGGAATCAGAGCTTCACTCTGGAGCTGGAGAGAGTGAGTCTCACACAGGCACACACACTCAAACACAAACACACACACTAATGCTCTAATGCTCTGTGTTCAGTCCCGAGAGATGGAGATCGCGGTGTACTGGAGGGACTATCGCTCGCTCTGCGCCCTGAAGTATCTAAAGCTGGAGGATTTCCTGGATAACCAGAGACACCGCATACAGCTGGAACTGGAGCCACAGGGACTTCTGCTGGCCGAGGTGCCAATCACACAGAAACACTCCTAATGTGATGGTCATTTGCATACTACCGTGTTTTAACATCCATCTCACTTGTCATTTTGAACTAATATGACCAGAAAATGTGTGCATATCCTGATTTTGATAGAAATGTAGATTTGAAACAAAATGTGGTTTGTGTTCCAGGTGATGTTCATCAACCCTGTGATCGAGAGAGGTCCACGTCTGCAGCGCCAGAGGAAGGTGTTTTCTAAACAGCAGGGTAGGACTACCTGTTAGCTTCTCCTGCAGTGCATGCTGGGAAAGAAAACGTCTCAGGTTACGATTGTAACCCTAGTTCCCTGAATAGGGAACGATAAGCTGCTTTGGAACGCCCCTGTGTGATTGCATAATAGAGTTCATCTATTTTAGTCCTCAAAGAAAAAACTCTTTCTAAACAGCACAAGAGTATATATGACATGATATAATATTGCACTCTTAGAAGAAAAGGTTCTATATAGAACCTTAAAAGGTTCTATTAGCGCTATGTATTTGGAACCCCTAAAAGGTTCTATACACTCTTAAAAAAAGGGTTCCTCTGGGTTCTATAGACCCTTTTACAGTTGGTAAACATGGTGACGTTTTTTCGTGGGCGGAGCTTAGGTGGAGGCAGAAAGATCCATCTGGCCGCTTCACTAACGCTAGTTAGCTAGGATTGTTAGCTTGTTTTTTAACAATGACTGGAGAAAATCCGATATTATCTTAATGTGTAAGGTCACTCAGTGTCCAGGACCGCGATTGTTATTTCCAAGAGTTATTTTTAACGGACGGAACCAGATTGGCCGACCCGTAGCCGCCTACACACTCACTCAATGCATAGACGATCTGACAGGATTAACGTACGTTACCTCGGTTGAGTGGCCTGACTTCTACACCTACCTTATAGAAAAACTGATCGTAAAGAGAAACTGAGGGCATATAAATCTTTAGATGCCTATATGGTCCTGTACAAGACTTGTGTGTACGATCCGCAGTTCTGCCGAGCCAGCGCCGAGACCACGACAATGTAAAGAGTGACATTACAGTGCGATTTTAATGATGTGAATATTTTCTAGAAATAAAAGTTCCAGATACAGCATATTCATTTTTCATCAATTCTTGCACCAAACAACACAACAAGATGACATTTAATAATAGTAACAATTATTTAAGCTCCTTATTATGTAGCTGAATCTGTGCTGTTTTGTATTGGCCGCCTCCAGTTTTCACTTTGTTTTGCCTCCAGTTAGCCCCGTGACGTAACTGTGACGTCGGCGCAAAAGGGGTCTATATAGAACCCTGGGGTTCCATACTTGGCCAATAGAACCTTTTACCAAAAAAAATGGTTCTATATAGAACCATTTTGGAGTTCCATATATGAAGCGGGGGATGGAACCATTTCTGGTTCTAAATAGAACCATTTCTTCTAAGAGTGTGTGACGTGGTTTTCACAGTATTTAATTTTGTCCTGTTTGTTGTGACTCAGGGAAAGCATTCCTGCGCGCTAAACAGATGAACGTAGACATGGCCACGTGGGTCCGGCTGCTAAAGAACGCCATTCCCATGAGCTCGTCCACACACAGCTACACACATCACAGCCACACACACAACAGCAGGTAACACACAGCACACACACACCTGTAATCCTGTCCTGACCAACATGACCGACTCCGAGCATTTCTCCACAGCGAGATTTCCATTCAGAAGATCCAACAGGACGACGACTCTCCACCGTCTGTGACCAGGAAAAACACACAGGGGTCCGAGACGGTAAATCAGAAACACGCTCTAAAATATGTATGACGATAATATTTAATAATATATTTAATACATGGATCATTAAGAGGAGTGATTTTACGAGTGATTTTTAAGTGAAAATCTATGAAGTTACTAGTACTAGTTACTAGAGCGGATATCGTGACAAGCAGGAACGATATGAATCTCAATATTTCAAAATACCCAAATACTGTCTGTGTAATTGTAGCCATAAACATAATTAATTTTTGCTTAATTAATTCTGGATGCTAGTCATACTACATTTACAGCTTACAAATGGTTTGTAGAAGCTTCTGCTTAGTCTTAATGTTTTATGCATCATTTAATACGGCTGATAACTTTTCCTTTTGTACAACCAAGTAAAAATGAAAATCGTAAAATATATAATATCATCACTCATTTTTTAATATTATTCATTATATTAAAGATTACACCACAGGTTTAATTTTACGTCTTTACATAATTGATTTAAGTTCATTTTGCATACCAATTTCTTTAATATCGAATTTGATATTTTATCTTCTGTATTAGAGCCAGACCGATAAAGGATTTTGAAGGCCGATACCGATACAAATATTTGTTGGTTTTAAAATCCGATATTCCGATATATCGGCCGGTATTATTATTATTATTTCAGAAACGCACAACAAAATATTGACAGATTTCCCTAACATTAGGTATTTGTAGTTATTTATGAGTTTTAACTAAAATAATATGATAATGCATTTTAAAAAGAAACTTGTTTCTACTGTCACAACAGAACAGAGGAACATAAAAATATATTAAAGTTCTGATAAATAAAATAATAATTAGCCCGTACATTTCCTTATAGTTATAAGCTGCGTGATTCGTCCGTTTTTATTTTATTTTTGAAATATTCATTTATCGGCCATTATAACTGCCGATACTGATATTTTAGAAAATGCCTAATATCGGCCGATATATCGGTCTCGCTCTATTCTGTATTTTAAGTGTAGCAGCACCATATGACTTGCACTGATTTATTTATTTATTTTTAGGGAAAACTATTTGCAATGAATGAAAACTTGCTCTCGATTCTAATTATAATGTGCTTTATTGGCATGAAGCGTACATTTGTATTGACAGCATTTGCTCTAAACAGTTCAAGTAAAACAAGGAATATTAGCAATTGCAGTAAAATAATACATGCAAAATAAACTAAGATAATAATAATGAATGAATGTAACAAAAGAGGGAATATTAACGTGTTTAGTGTTTAATAATGATGTGTTGTTGATGATGATAATTTATCAGGTGGACATTGGGCTGGTGCCGGAGCCGGCCTCTCCTCCTGATCCCGCTCCTCCTGTGAGGACTGTCAGGAGCACTTCCCATAACTCCCAGCGCAGGTACACGTCCTACCAGCACAACATATGACTTCCAGACCGAGCCAAGAGACAACGTGACACACACACATTCACACTCATGTAGCTTCGGACCTCACACCAGCTCTCACCTTCAGTAATTCTACCTTCTAATTACATCCGGCCTGCGTGTGTGTGTGTGTGTGTGTGCAGGTCGTCCAAAAGCCCCCTGTGTCTTCAGGATTTCCGAATGATTGCAGTGCTCGGCCGGGGACATTTTGGCAAGGTAACTGGAACACGTTCAGTCTTAAATATAAACTGCCGACACTAGTCAGACATAATCGACACACACCGAGAACGTCATGCACCCACGGCAACATTTGTGTTTCATTTAAGCTTTTTTTTTTGTATTTTATTTCAGTTTCATTTTAATTGACAAAAATGTATTTCAATAGTTTTAATTAACTACAACGACAATAACATTATTATTTTTCTTTCTATATTTCTTTTTTCACCGCACCCTTCTGATGTTACCGCTGTGATCTGTATGGAACATTTTTATTTTATGTCTCTTTTATGTCTTTATCTGTAACTAGATTTCCCTTATTCTTACACATTTGTTATACCGTGCTATTGTTTCTTTTTTGGAAATTTGTTCAGAAAAAAAAAAAAAGTCTTATTAGTAAACTAAATAGTTTACAAAAAAACGACAATAAGAAGTCCAACTCAACCGTTTTACAGCAGTTTTGCTTCTTAACTGAAGATTTTACATTGCAATTAACAATTTTGTTTAAAATTTAAATGTTTTTATTTGATTTCATTTAGAATATTTACTTTATTTGGAATATTTTCAGATTTCTGTTTTATTTATGTTTAAGTCTTTTTTTACATTACAATTTCTAGCTTAAATTTATATCTTTTGTAGTGTTTTTAGAAGTGTTTTTCTTCCCTATTCAAGACACACACCAGTTTGTGAATTAAGACTCATGTGCACATTGAGTATGATTTGTGTGTGTGTGTGTGTGTTTCCAGGTCCTTCTATCTGAATACAGACACTCAGGAAAGATGTACGCCATCAAAGCCCTGAAGAAAGGGGACATTGTGGCGCGGGACGAGGTCGAGAGGTCAGTGTTCGCTTCAGGATGTATTTTTACTTACAAACATGAAATGAAAACCTCAGTTAAACCTCTCTCTCTCTCTCTCTCTCTCTCTCTCAGTTTGATGTGTGAGAAGCGCATCTTCGAGACGGTGAACAGCGCGCAGCATCCGTTCCTGGTGAACCTGTTTGCATGTTTTCAGACGCCAGAACACGTGTGTTTCGTCATGGAGTACACGGCCGGCGGTGACCTGATGATGCACATTCACGCCGACGTCTTCTCGGAAACACGCTCCGTGTAAGTGTGTGTAATTCATCGAGTTGACGTGCGACACTATAGTTGTTAAGGGTGTTTTTGGATGTTTTTCCTGGAATTATGTGTTTAAAAATAAAGGGATTTTTCCCAGTGATGGAAGAACCATTTGCTGCTCCCTAAAGAACCTTTAAGTGAAAAGTTCTTAAAATAACCTTGTTTTTTTATTATTAAATTCTAAATTCATTTTAAAATTCTAAAGAACCCTTTGTGGAATGGGAAGATTCCATGAATGTGAAAGGGTTCTTCGTGTGCCCATTGGTTTTTAAGAGTGTACGGTCTTCATATACGTGTGTTTGTGTGTTATGCAGGTTTTATTCTGCCTGTGTTGTTTTGGGGCTTCAGTTTCTTCATGATAATAAGATTGTGTATCGGTGAGTACACGCACAATTACAGCATTAAACTACAGACTTCAAAAACTGTAATTAAGTCAGTTTCTTCTTGCATCTATGTGTGTGTTAGAGATCTGAAGCTGGATAACCTGCTGCTGGATATTGAAGGCTATGTGAAAATCGCAGACTTCGGTCTTTGTAAAGAGGGTGAGTCACAGACTGTCCTGACGTTGATGGAGTTAATGGAGTAAGAACATGATATTTGTTCACTGCTGGATCACAGCGATCTGGAAATGACAGCTTGTCAGCAGAACAGATTACAAGCATACAGCGCACTATATTTAATAGTACAAAAGAGGTCTCTTATTCTCACCAAGGCTGCATTTATTTGATCAAAAACACGGTAAAAAAATTCAATTCAAGTTTATTTGTATAGAAAAAAAAACTTGAATTGAATTGAATTTTTTAATGTGTTTTTAAACAAATAAATGCAGCCTTGGTGAGAATAAGAGACTTCTTTTGTATTGAAATTGAGAAATATGAATATAATTTAAAATAACTGTTTTCTATATGAATATATTGTAAAATGTAATTTATTCCTGTGATCAAAGCTGAATTTTCAGCAACATTACAGTCTTCAGTGTCACATGATCCTTCAGAAATCACTCTAATATGATGATCTGGTGCTCAAGAAACGTCGAAAACAATTGAACTGCTTCATATCTACTGTATGTGAAAACCGTGATGTATTTTATTTCTCTGGATTATTTTATTAATACACAGTTCAAAAGAACAGCATTTAAAACTGGCATTTTTTGTAACATTATAAACGTCTTTGCTGTCACTGATCAATTTAATGCGTCTTTGCTAAATAAAATCATTAATTTCTTTTAACATAAAACGGTTCTTTTGCATTTTAAGACAATTTTGTTAGCCAAAAAGCTAGAAATTAATGCAAAAAAGTTGGCATAATGCCATTTGTGCTCTCTCTCGTTTTTGTCCCTCTCTCTGTCCCGTAGGAATGGGTCATGGGGACAGAACCAGCACATTTTGTGGGACTCCAGAGTTTCTTGCTCCTGAGGTTTTGACTGACACGTCCTACACGAGAGCCGTGGACTGGTGGGGTCTCGGCGTGCTCATTTACGAGATGCTGGTCGGAGAGGTGTGTGTTTGCGCAATTTTTGCTTCGAATTTTTATGTTATTTCCCAGTAAAATATCTTTTTTTCTTGCTTTAAGCATAAATCAAACAAAATTTGTTAAAGTTCACTTCAAAATGTGATTTTCTCCCTTCGTATTTTAGTCTTGTTTTTTTTCCAGTACAATTATCTAAATGTTCTTAACTCAAGATACATTTGCTTGAGATGCAATATGGCATAAAATAAGTCTTATTTTCTGAGAAAAGCTTATAAAAATGAAGTGTATTTGTATAATATGAGGGGAAAACTTGCCAACTACACTTGGAATAATTTATTTTTTCTGATCCTATTGGTAATTGTTTCTTAATTTAAGCAAAACTCAATTCATTTTGAGCAATTTCTCAAAAAACAAGAAGACGTCCTCCTATGTCATTTCGCATCTCAAGTAAATGTATCTTGATTTAAGAATGTTTAGATATTTATACCAGAAAACAAGACTTATATAAGCTTATCGTCTTGTACAGTTACACTTCTTAAGTAAAGACTTAACTATCAGACAAAATCTTGATACATGATCTGTGTTCAGTCACCGTTCCCCGGTGACGATGAAGAGGAGGTGTTCGACAGCATTGTAAACGATGAAGTACGATACCCAAGATTCCTCTCCACCGAGGCCATTGGCATCATGAGACGAGTAAGTCTGTTCACTCATGTTAAATATTTAGGTCTTAATTTAAGACTTATGTATTTGAATTGCACATAAAATCTGACTTGCAGGGTTTTAACGTAAACTATAATGTAGATGTTTCCTTGTTACCCATTGGCAGCTGCTGAGGCGTAATCCCGAGAGACGGCTGGGCTCCGGGGAAAAAGACGCAGAGGACATACGGAAACAACCGTTCTTTAGAGTATGAAGAGTTCTTTGACTTTTTGGCTTGACTTGCTACAATAATATGGAGCCCCTAGAGCAGTGTTTCCCAACCCTGTTCCTGGCGGCACACCAACACTGCACGTATTCTTTGTCTCCCTAATCAAACACACCCGATTCAACTCATCAGCTCATTAACCCATCTGATTATGAGCTGATGAGTTGAATCAGGTGTGTTTGATAAGGGAGACAAAGAATTCGCGTAGTGTTGGTGTGCCGCCAGGAACAGGGTTGGGAAACACTGCCCTAGGGGAACATGGTGATGGTAAAAAAATAAAAATAAAAATAGATGGGTGTAAAAATTTATATTTCAATACATTTGTGCTCACTTTCAAAACTATCGTGTCCACCCAAGAATTTGAGTTCGCTCACAAAACATGTACGTTATCTTGTAAAAACATTGCAATTCACATAGAAATTGGCATCCTCTCAAAAAATATTTGCGTTCGCTTGCGAAACTAACCATAGCCCCTTTCACACAGAGATTCCAGAAAATACACGGATAATGTGACCCAGCATTTGTCCCGGGATTGTTTGATTTCGGTTCATTCACACTGCAAGTGATTTGCCGGGATCTGTGAGTGCGTTCACACACAAACCGTAAAAATCCCGGGAAGACACATGACGTCAGGATGAGACGTATTACGGACGCGTCGAAAACATGTACACGCGCATACCGTCCCACAAAGCTGGTGAACGATCTCAGCTTCAGCGCGGATAGTGAGGAGCTCCTGGTCTCTGCTTCGCTCCAGTTTGCAGGTATTTGTTCGTCCTTTCTTTGTTGATGACGAACACAAACTTTCTTCTAAGAGCAACAGAGTCGCGCGATGGCACGAGCGTCATCACTATGACACCCTTTACGGCATTGGTCCTGGCTTTTGTTCACACAGCGCGCGTTCCGGGACTGATTACGGCAATGTTACTAGGTCCCCAACCTGGGATCAATCCCAGAATCAATCCCAGGTCGTGTTTGCGTTCACACAGAAGGCGTTCTGCCAATTTCCCGGCAATTTCCTGGGATCAACTCGCTGTGTGAAAGGGGCTCATTAGTGTTTGCTTGCAAAAGGTGTGTTTGCTCATAAATCTCACATTCCCCCAAAAATCTTTGCATTTGCTTTGCAAAACATCTGCTTTCTTTTTAAAGACTATAGCGTAAACTCTTATATACTCTTTCAAATCTATTGCGTTCCCCAGTGAAACTGTGAGGCTGGTGTTTGGTTGGGTTTTTTGTTTTGATGTGTCATGTGTTTTTGTTTTCATTCGTGTTGTTCTCATTGGTTTATTGGTTTCATTACATTCAGGTGCTCATTAGTCTGTGTGTATATAGCCCGGAGTTTGCCATGTGTGTTTGTCTAGCTTTGTCATCTTTTGATGCTGCAGTCCACTGCTTTGTTTCATTCCCATGCCATTCTTTACTTAGTCAAAGTATGTTGATTTCCAAGTTATTGCTTTGTTGATACACCAACTTTGTGTTTTTCCCCATAGAAACTTCTACAGTTCATTTAAAAAACACTTGCGTTCGCTCACAGAAATACTGACTTTCTCCCAAAAAAACTTTAAATTTGTGTTTGTGTTCTTTTACTAAATATTTTCTCTCTTTTGCAAAACTACTGCATTCCCCAAAGAAACTGCACTCACTCGCATTTGCCTTCTTTCACAAAAACTATATTTCTGTGCTTTTCAAAAAACTATTTCAAACTGTATTTCAGTGCAAGTTTCTCGAAGGAATTCAATACTTTTGTGAGAGAATGCAGTGTTATTTGGGGAATGCAAAAGTTTCATCAGAGAACACAAAAGCATTAAAGCATTACTTTTTCCTTGCATTTTTCTCCATCGCCTTTATGGGCTCCATACAATAGACCCTTTTTGCGCAGACGTCACAATTTAGTCACGGCGTTAGCTGGAGGCAAAACTAATAGATAACTGGAGGCACCCATTACAAATCAAAGCAAGTTCGACATAAGAAGCTTAAAATGTCATCTTGCTGTGTTGTTGGGTGCCAGAATCGAATGGAGTACAGGCTCCAATTTAATTTTATCGCATTTTGCCTGACAGAAAAAAAAACGATGACAGCTGTGACTAAACACAATAAAAATAAAGGACTGGGCGGAAACGATCATTAAAAAATGCTCGCGTTTTTTAAGCGCACACTTCGTTTCAATAAGCTATTTTTTTTTGTTGGTATGGATTATGGTTTGGTTACATGTATAAAGATTTCCCTTGCATGGCCACCTAGAGATACCATTATAAATTGGGGAACAAGTTAAGTTATTTCTCACATAATGCTAACTTGTTTAGTGCATAAGTTAGCTAACTTAGTCAGTCGTACAACTTGCAGTTAGATAACTGCTAGCTAATGACCAAAGACTAAACATAAAAGAAACTGTTAGTGTCATCTCCTTTTCTCCAGTTTCCATAAGTGCAGTGGAGGTAATCCTGTCAGATCCTCCATTCATTGAGTGAGCGTGTAACGATACTGGTCAACCAGTCTGTCTCTGTCCGTTTGTTGACTTTTCCTTATTCAGATAAAATTGGATTTTCTCCAGTCATTGTTACAAGCTAACAAACAAGCAAACAAAACTTGCTTGCTACCATTAGGCTGTGTGTCCACCAAAGCGTTTTTATCCAGCTGAAAACGCCAGACGCTCTGCTGAAGACGCCGTGCTTTGGGCGCTTGAGAGCGTTTTGACAGCGCAGCGTTTTTTTTTTCCGTTGAGACGTTTTGTTGATATGATACAGAATATCCGCAGCAGTTTGAATGTTGTTACAGTTGGTCGGTGTGGTATTAGTCCCGCCCCTCCTCCACTGTGATTGGACGGCTGGGTAAAAAGTGAGTGATGAGCGCTGCGTTTTATCCAAAGTTGAACATTTTTCAACTCCCGCTCGGCGCTTCAGCATGAAAAAAACGCTCAGCTCCTCGGTACGCTCATGGCTAGGGTTGGGTATCGAGAATCGAGTATCGATTGGAACCGAGACTAACTTTTAGTTTTTCCCGGAATCGTTCAAAAGTAAAAATTTCGATTCCTAGTTTCGATATTCACAGTCCGCCGAGCGGAAGAAGAAACCGCTGAACAACACCAACGAAGAAGGGTCAACCGGAAGTGTTGGCATAACCGCGCGAGTCGAACATGAGTACCTTAAGTCGGCGATCCAAAGTGTGGCTTCACTTTTCTAAAAATAACAAAATCTCGGCAAAATGCAAAATTTGTGACAAAAGGAGGATTATTTCCTTCAGAAAGGCTGTTGGTTTGCAAGGTTAGCTAAACTTTTTTGACCCTGCCTCTTAGAAGAACCGGAATCGAGAATCGTTAGGAACCGGAATCGAAACAAGGAATCAGAATCGGAATCAGAATCGTTCAAATTCAAACGATACCCAACCCTACTCATGGCGTTTAAAAAACGCGGCACTCACATTGAAAACAATTGAAAACCTACGCCAGGCGCGTTGAAAAACGCTTTGGTGGACACACGGCCTCAGTGAAGTGGCAGGGGAATCGTTCTGCCTCCACCTAAGCTCCGCCCACAAAAAAACGTCACATGTTTACTAACTGAAAAAGGGTCCATAAAGCCAAAGTTGCGATCTTAGTGACAGTGTGGCTCCATCTTCTCTCTTTCTCTGCAGAATATGGACTGGGATGCGCTTTTGCAGCGGCGAGTTCCTCCTCCGTTCGTTCCCGCCTTGACAGGAAACGAAGACGTCAGTAACTTCGACTCCGAGTTCACCAACGAGGCTCCAACGCTGACACCTCCTCGTGAGCGCCGGAACCTCTCGCGCAAAGACCAGGACTACTTCAGGGACTTTGACTATGTCTCGGACTTCTGCTAGGGCACAAGGTTGCAAACTGAGGCTGCTAGGTGTGGGAGATAACTTCCTAGCGCCGTAGTTCCCATCAAGGGTGCATATCCTGAGGATTCACTCAGAGAAACAGGGACGCTGACAGGCTAAACGCCTCTGATGACTGTAGAAGGCACATCAAACATGAAGATATTCAAGAATCCAGAGAATGTGAAGCTCTGCGGTGTATCTGAAAGCTGGTGGCCAGGGTGTTTTCTCATCCTATTTTGGCAGGATTTTCAGATGGTCAGTCAGGCTTGTTCATGACATTTCCGAAAATCCTCAGTACCAGACGCTCAAGTAGTCGACTGGGATCTCATTACTAGACTCCTGCAGGGATGATGTATTTTTGTGGTCCTAAACCCAGGAACGAGCATTTTAGCATGTTCAGTTCCATTACCTTGAAGTCCATGGGTTTTTTAAAATGAGTTTTGCCTGAAATAAGGTCTGTGGTGAACACAAGCTCCAACAATATTTTCACTTTTTATGCTCCGGCATATAGTACATCAATAATGTATAAAACACAATATGATTTTTTTTTAACGTCTTCAAATAAAGCTTTTGCTTACAAAAGTCTTAATGGGAATACAGAGGCTGCCGGTACATTAAAGCGATCATGAACTGGCTTTTTAATTTTTATTTTATTGTTGTCTGAGGTCAACTTACGACGTTCGCTTGGTTTTTACATTAAAAAACATCAAAATGAATACGTAATTGGCTATTTTCTACCCTAGTTTTGAGCCCAGCTCCAAAACACTCTGTTTTTATGGGCGTCTCGCATTGAAGACTTGGAAGTTAATACCCACTGCCTTTTGCGCTCGCTCACATGAGGTGGTTTTTCAGGCAATTCAAAAAAGGAATATTTCGCAAAACTGCAATGTTTTTTTTCCCGCATTTACAGGTCACCTGACGTACGTAAACGTCACATGACCATTCTTTAAAGATGACACTGTATGTTTGGAAAGAAGATGAGACAGACTTCTTTATTAAACTCATAAACGGCAATACAACAAAGAAATGCCACAATTTACCAAGAGCTTGAAGCAGATTTCACCTCATAATTATGTGAAATCAGCTCCCAATTTAAGGGGCTTTCCTTGCCATTAATGTTTGAATGCCCCTCATAAAAAGACAAACGGGAATACTGGAATTTAAACAACAAAGAAATGCCATAATTTATGAAAAGTTTGAAGCAGAAATGAGTGAGAAATACCCAGAAAACCTCATACTGTATGTGCTGCTCACAAGTTGCCATTAATGCTTGAATAAACACACGTCTACTTCCATTAAAAATAATGGCTAGTGCGGTTGCTGATATTTATTCGTAATCCTACCATGGACTTATTGCGAAAGGAAAAAAAGACGTTTTAGTCACATAACATCAGTTAATGGACTATAGTCTTTTAGTAATTGTTTTTATCAACATTTAGGAAAAGACGTTTTGCTCAAATCTGTAATAAAGCGGTAAGTGAAAACATTTCCAGAAAAACTCCAGATTTCCAGAAAACTGTTCTATGGTGTGTCATAAATGTCTGCTAATCTCGTCAATGGTGGGGAGAGTAAATGGTAAGTCGTGACAGTGGTGGACAGTTTTTTATTAACCTACGTTTAGCTTTTTATTTCTGCCGATTGAACTCAGGCTTCAAAAATTGTTCATTTTGTGAAGGTTATCATAATGAACAAAACGTGTAAGAATCATAAACTTCTTGTTGGTCGCAGAGCTTATTTTATGCAATAATCTAAAAGCCCATGGAAAAATCCTATTGAGGTTTTTTGGAGGGAACCAGGGTGATTTAAACTAGAAAAATGCATCATCATCAATGCAGTGCTTTTTGGGAGTGTGTTAACTAGCAGAGCCCAGTTTCATGGCACTGACCCCCCCTGGGGAAAGGACTCGCTGAATTCCCCGTTCGTCTTCTTTTTCTACCAATGTATCTGTATATCACACATGGTCAAGAGACTGTTTACTTCTGTAATACACTCACTTTAACCACATGGGGGCGCCAGAGAGTTTGAAAGAGCTGTGGAAACCGTTACTGTCTCAGTATGAGCATGTCCAGTAATGAAATGAGAGTGTGTGGCATCATCGACTGCTATATTTGTATTTTTAGAGATTATTTAGCTGTTGTTGTTTTTTTTCTCACTGAAACTTTACTAATTGTGGAAATCCTATGAATGAAAATGACTATATTAAACTATTATTATAAACTCGTTTGGGGTTTTTTTTTATGGGTAATTTTAATGTGAATGAATTTACATTTTGACGATTTAAATCGCAATCACGTCAGACAATTTCTTTTTCTGATAAAGTAAATTTTCTTTATAATTAAACAAAAATGAACACATTACTGACCTGAAGAATATCATCTAATTAAAGTGGGAAAGTGACCTAAATTAAGCAGGAAGTTTAACCTTAAGTTTATGAGCGGTGCAGGATGAAAATTCAATTCAATTCACATTTATTTGTATAGTGCTTTCGAATACACATCATTTCTTTGCAGATAATGCACAAGTCAACATTACAATTCAGAGTCTGTAATCAGAGGAAACTAAGTTATGCATTTCAGAAATGTACATATTCAAAATCACAGTTAGCGAAAAAAGTATTAATTTAAACAATGTAATAATTAAAGGCAGAAACATTGAGAACATTAAAGTAATGAACACTTGTTTGTTATGTGTAAACATTTTGAGTATCAAATACGCGCTACAGAGTGCGTTTCGTCACTACCTTGAAAGAGAAGCCGCAGAAAGCTAGAAGCTAGCCATAAACACCGCCGTGAGTAGTGACTTTTCCCTTGTCAGTGGTGTAAAATATGTAGTTGGATTGTTTCATGTAACTTAGTTCTTCTCCCTCGCTGTGTTATGGCTTTGCTATGTTGGGATAAATGTGCTGGTTACGTTTGCGAGACAATCAGCTGTTTACTATTATTATATTATATATTACGACCGTTGATCCTCACTATGGCTTTGTTAACTTTATCCATGATGTGGTTTATAATGGACTGGGGTACAGAAACAGTGACAATGTTACACACTCTTGGCTTACTCTGGCTATTCTCTGCTGTCTCAGCCGACGAGATGTTTGTCCCGTCTTAGCCACCGTAGCTTCTTCGAAAGGGAGGAGTGAACAGTGGGCTGAGCCCTTAGTGCAACTCGCAACCGAACCGCTAGATGTCGCTAAAAAATACACACTGTGTATACACCTTTAACAAATGATTATGACATTACGTTGAAGTTTTCATGATTGTGAAAATGAACAGAAGTTTAAGAGATAGCCTCATTAAAGGATTAGTTCACTTTTGAAAAAAGTGAAAAAACTTTTGCTGATAATTTACTCACCCCCATGTCATCCAAGATGTCCACGTCTTTCTTTCCTCAGTCGAAAAGAAATTAAGGTTTTTGATGAAAACATTCCAGGATTTTTCTCCATATAATGGACTTACATGGGAACCAGACGGTCCAAGGTCGAAAAGACAGTTAATAACAGTTTCAGATGCAGCTTCAAATGTCTTTAAACGACACCAGACGATGAATAAGGGTCTTATCATGCGAAACGATCGGTTATTTCAAAACTTATTCCAAAAATGTAACTTTTCTAAGGACAAATGCTAGCCTTGCTCTATTCTGTGAGGCGCGTTTGTAACGTCACGTAATACGTAATTAAAGGTCAAAAGGTCACGGGCGACGTAGCCGGAAGTACAGAATCAAAATCGTCTCCGACATCGTTGTTTTACCTTTTAATTCCTTTTTTGTAAACGCCGTTTGAGTTCGTTTGCACGTTCAACCTATGCGTTCAACTTGTAAACACTGACTCTGTACTTCCAGCTACGTCGCCCGTGACCATCTGGTTCCCATGTAAAAAATGAAAATGAAAAATCCTGGAATGTTTTCATCAAAAACCTTACTTTCTTTTCGACTGAGGAAAGAAAGACATGGACATCTTGGATGACATGGGGGTGAGTAAATTATCAGCAAAAGTTTTTTCAAAAGTGAACTAATCCTTTAAGATGAATCGCTTGTTGTATTTGTGAATCACTTTGGATAAAAACGTCTGTTAAATAAATTTATACCATGGTCTGGGTGAATACTCGATTCTGATTGGCTGCAGGGTGTCCGTTAAAAAGTGATAGAGGACACCTAGTAAAGTAGTTCTGGTGAAACTGCCTGTTTACCATTCGAAATTAATAAATAAATGCGCTGCCTACAACGGCTGTGAGTAACCATAGCAACAGGCAGTCACATGCTCTATCTAACGTTAGATATTATAGCCTAATACAACAATGAGCGACTTCGTGCTATTTCTTTTAACATTTATGGAGAATATGGCAACTTTGACGACTGGTATGCTGCTGAAGAAAGAAAAATGTAAATAAAACGGAGGAAATTACACCGCTGCTGCGCTGCTCCATTGAACTCTATTGGTAACGACGTAACTTGCGACCATAGTTGGATAACACGATGCTTTCGGGAAACGCACCCCTGAATGAGACCCTGCGGGAGTTTTACGCAGCTGTCCAGACAACCAAGGCAGGAGAAGGCTGAACGTTACAGCGTTTCAAGCTTAAGGAGCCTGAGGCAAATGACCCTCTCTTTGATCTGATTAATTTTTGCCCTCTATAACGTTAAGCGCAAATCGCTGGAGCTCAGAGCTAATTGTTTTTTTTATTGTTGTTTGATTAATTGTTTTATGTGTAATAAAAAAAAAAAACTATGCCTACCTGTGTGTTTCATGAAAAAAAAAATGCATTTGTGAACCTGAAGTGATACGAGCTAAGCGGACTATAAATATCTCCGGTTGCTAGATAAACAGTCAGTCAAGTTATTATTTGTAAAAACTAGATTTAGCCTAATTAAAATATAAACTAATGTTTTATTTGGCAAGTGACCATGGTATAAGCGGGTTAATGCCCTCCGAGGTGTCCATTGTCAGGTTCTAATGGACTTCGGCGGAGGCAACCGTCCTCCGCTGCGCGTCGGCCGGTTTACGCCTCGCCGTCGTCCATTAAAACCTGACAATGGACACCTCGTCGGGCATTAACCCTTACATATGTGAAAGTCGATGTGAACACTCATGATCTGTGTCATGGCAGTGCAGATAAGAGTAAAGCAGACAGTCCTGAAACAGTGTTGTGATGAACCTCACTGCTTAAAACATAACGGATGGTTTGAGATAATGTCCCATCATTGCCCAAACAAGAAAGTATCCATGGAGACCGAAAGATGGAGCTGTTAAAAAAAGGGTCATGATGTCCTGTGAACAAACTACACACAAAGAACAAACTGTCTTATAACAAACCTATCAGCATAGGGTTGCATTGGTAATGACGGAGGCTTTCAGGAAAAAAGCTCCCTGTCTAGTCGTGGTGCAGATCTTTGGACATATCATTTGAACATAGGGATGGGCAACGATTAATCGCATCCAAAATAAAAGTTTGTGTTTACATAATATATGTGTGTGTAGTGTGTATAATTAATTTGTATATATAAATACTAACACGTGCATGTATATATTTAAAAGAAATGTGTTATTAATATATAAAATATTTATATTTATATATAATATTAATTGTGAATAAATATATATAAATTATATACATGCACATATTTCTTAAATGTATACATGCATGTGTTAGTAT